CACTCTGTGGATTTTCAATTGTTTTTTCACTGAATATTTTCATGTTTCTGTATTATTCACTTAAATACACTTAATGCACTTCGCAATTGCCAATACAATATTTATTTACACCACATTTACTAACAGCTACTAGTAATTAAAGGCCAGAAATATTAAAAGGGGGCTGTTAATTTAGCAAAGAAAATCATGCTCAAATAACAAACTATGGAGAGGAATATTTTAGGTTAAGTATGTTTGTTATTTATAGATGGATAGCAGTGGCATAACTCCATTTTTGCTCATGGGTTTTTTTTTTTTCTTTAAAATACATATATGTACTACATTTTTTGGCACGTTTATTGTAACACTAAATTGATTAATATAAAGAAAAGATAACAATTTTCATGAAGTTTTTGTGTTTGCTCTTAGATATGAAAACAGATCTGAACTTACTGCTTGAATGCCTTAAGTATCAGATGGACTGCCCTGTGTCTCAGAAAGAGGCTTTGATCACTATTTATTCAATTTGTCAACAAAACAGTAAGAAGTGTTTTTCCTTAGAAACAATGTAATCATTATGTTCACAATATATGTTGAGAAGCTAGTTGTCACTGTAAAAAAAAAATTATCTAAAGGATATAAGGTGTGAGAAATTATAAAAACTTGGAAGGTTTTAATTTTACAGAGAAACAAAAGCAAACGTTTAATTTCTGTTCTTTTTTCTGTTGTAGGTGAAGCAAGTGAATATTTTCGAGAAATTGGTGGTTTGATGTTTATAAATGATCTTGCAAAGTCAAATGTTCATTGTATAGTAAAGGAAGCGGCTTTATTTACATTAGGAATTATAATAGAGAGTAATGGTAATAACAAGTAATATTATTTGTATTTCTGAGTGAGCCCATGTCATTACTTCTGCTTGTGCTTTGTCTCCATTTTTTTTTTTTCTGGCTCAAAAAATCAGGCTTACAAGACTATCAGCTTGAGCAAGGGGCAGTAAAGGTACCACTGTTCCACCGTGCATCCCCAGATTTGGAGAAACAACTTGTTGATTTGTGTAGACAGCACGTCCTTATGATACTAGGCAGCTGCACTACTTCTCTTCCTCAGCAGCAAGTGTTAAATGACTCATAGATTGTTCCAAAATTCACCTAGGCCCTGGCTGGTTTAGAACTGACTACAAGGGGAAGCCCTCAGCCACTTTGTAGTCCTGTTTTGTCTCCACTGACCACACACTGGACACAACTGAGACTCTAGTTATTACGTTAGAAAAATAATTGAGGATTATGAATGGCTTGCTTTCAGACTTAATGTTTATTATTTTCTGGTTTCAGTTTATTGTCAACAAACTTTGTGTACTTCTGCATTGTTTGAAGACCTCATTTTATTTTTAATTAATAAGGATTCTGGTGTGAACTTGAAAAGAATGTCTGTTTATGTCATCTTAGTACTGGTTTCAAATAATAGTAAGTTGGGTTTTTAATGTGTTATTACACTTTTTTCTATTTGCCTATCTGCAGTATAGAAATTCGGAACACTGAATAAGTAATGTTTTGGTGAAGTTAATTTATGAAGATGAACCAGAATTGTGCAAGTAGATCACTGGAATTTCCTTAAGTAGCAGAAAGTGGTTTAGTTCAAAAATTAAATTATAGGTTAAAAAAAAAAAAAGTATAATGCAAACCAGTAGTTTCTGACAATGTATATTAAAAATAGATATAGAAAGAAATGGAACATTTTTGCCAATGTGTTGGTGTGATTCTGTATTTGGGTTTTTGGGGGATATATACTTAGGAGACAGAAACAGAATGTGTACATGTAAATTAAACTTGATGTTAAGATATTGTCTCAAGTTGCATGTGTCTTCTGAGTCTTGTATGTGTTCTTTTTTAGAAAGTGGGCAAACCTACGTCAGAGATACAGGCTGCATTGGTCTTCTGCTACAGTTATTCAGGTAAACAAAAATTGCAATTCAAACAGAAAAATGATAGACTATTTAGGACTTATGTTTGCTTGACTATTTGGGATTTGTTTGCATTGTTCTTAACAGAACAACTCTTTCCATATCTGAGATTAATCTGTCAGATGAAAATACTAATCAGTGCTATCAGCTGTGGTCTTCAGTCTGCAGTACCCTCTGTGCCTGTGTTAACAATCCTCAGAATGGTAAGTGTTGCTGTTAAAATTGTGAAAAAAGTTGAAAGTACTTCTCCACAGTGACAGCTGTTTGTTTTCATTTTTACCGTTCAACTGAAACTTTGTATTACATTTTGATTCAAGGTTATTTGTTTTTACTTTTCCAGAAGATAATCAAAACATTTGCTGTTCAGTTTTTCCGTATGCCAAAGAGTGGCTTGAAAGTTGCACAGAGCCTGAGATAGTTCGTCCTATTTGTTCATTTGTTGGTCTCACAGTTGCAAATAACTGTAAGTGCAGTTCAAGCTTTAAACAGTTTTTCTTTTGCAAGAGTACATTTAATTTGATAGTTAAATATTTGATTTCTTTTTGTCAATCTCTACAAATTCATTTACTGTTCTTCCAACTTTTACTCTGAAATTCATCATCTTTACTTATGCTGCCTTGTGCATAAGCCCACGAATAGCTGCAAACTGGCTACACTTTGTAAGGTCAGTAAAAACTATTTGGAAGCTGTTTTGATTAAAAGTATTTTACAAATATAAGTCATTATTACATCTGTGAAAACAATGGTTTAGGTAGAGCTGGGGCATAATGTTTGCCATTTGTACGCATTTATTAGGGCCATGTGTTTCCTGTAACTATTTTATAAGACAATTGCTACATTTCTTGAGATGAATATATATCCAGCTTCTGTTGTATAGGTGGAAATGTAATGATTAATACATACAGAGAAAAAATTATGATGAGCCTAATTGATAAGTTGCTAAACCAATTTGCAACTGGTATTATTTAAGACATGTTTTTTTCTTTTTTTCACTAAGTGTATGTGCAGAAATATTTTGTTTCTGTTGGAGGATTGGATACATTAGCTAAAGTTCTCATCAAGCTTATGCATGATTCCTGTATGAGTCACTCAAGCACAAAGCTTGCAGTAGTAGTAACGAAGACTCTGGATGCCTGCATTGCTAATGACTGTGAGTGAAAAGACCGCTACAATTTTTTATATATGGCAATTTTAAAATGCAATTTTTAAAGTCTTGTTTTGGTGGAAGAGTGATATGAATGGACGCCAAAAGGCAATTAAGTTATATACATCCCAGTTGATATCGCAGATTTTTTAAAATTCAAATGTTTATATGGGAAATGATTCAGTCTGAGGTGGGTTACTTTCCCATTGTTGCTAAAAAAATAGTGATTTAAACTGTACTGAAAAATAAGATACTAGAGCTAGTTTTGTGTAAGTAGAGCTGAGAACTGGGCGTGGCAGTCATCTCGGATCCTGGAGTTAGAACTGCATTTCTGTAGGCCTATGCCTAAGCTGATAAGCTTTGTAAGCTTTAAGAGGCTTTAGTAACTCAGGCGTGGAGCTGAACAAATGTGGTATGTCTGGATAACACACTTTACTCTCATTTACTGTCTGGATAGTGCTAGCCTAATGAGGTCTTTGTGTATTCCGTCAGAAGATTTTGAGAAACCTGTGAGCCTGATGAATCTGTGCTGTTGGCCCCACTATATCTGACATTTCTGCCATAAGTGCTCGCTAATGGAAGTTCAAAAATGTTTAAAAGCATATACCTGTGCTAGTTTTGAGCCTAGTTTCAGGGAAGTTGGTATGTGACAGGACTAGGTTTCAGTATGTATGTACTAGCAGTGGTGTTCCCAGTTTCAGGAAGGGGTTGCCCTCTACCAGAAACATCCTTAGCTCTTTGTGGCATTTAGTCTGTGTATCAAACCTTATCCTACTCTTTTGCTCTATTCTGGAGCTGATAAAGGATGTGAAGAATCTCAGCAGAGGTCTACAGAACTTGCACATTGCAAAGCCCTTGTTTATCAGATCTTCTACCACACCTCTATACAGCACAATCTGGGAGAAAGGGCAGTGTTGGATATGGGGAGTGGCATGGGCAGAATTACTGCACCAGCAGGGATATGGTAATTTGAAGTGTTAAAATGAAAGAGAGGGAAGAGAAGGACTGTGCAGGCCCAGGGCTTTTAGAGGTCTGTAGAGTTCCCTTGAAAAACAGCATTTTATGTTTGCATGATGCCTGTATGCTTACTATGTAATTTATTTTTCTTCAAATTATTTTTAACATAATAGCTGCCATGGGTGTTGTCTTGGCAAAGTATCACACTGTGTCAGAGCTACTGAAGCTGCTGTCCAATGACACTCTGGATACAGGAGAGAAAATTAGTATTATTCTAACAATTGGACATTGTACTGAAGTTTGTGGTAAGATTTTTTTCTTTTTCTGTCAGTTTCTACTAAATCCTCATACACTACTTCAGTGGTTTAATTTCATCAAGACTGGAACATGAGGGGAAGTTCTATTAAATAATGTAATGTTAATATTCAGAAAAAAATGTTTGCTATAGTGTTCCACCTTTAAATTTTAAAACCTGTTAGCAGATATTATCTTTGAGCTTAGAAAAAGTAGACTATTATGCAAGAATTCAGAGCTGGGCTTAGGTATCATAAGGTAAAAGTCATCCAGACCTGAGAACTACTACAACTACAACACATACAACAAATAAGATTCCTTTATTTTATCAAGTTCAGACAACAAAAAACTATTTTTAGGAAGTTGTCAGTTTTATGAATACATACTGCAAATGAGCTAATTACATAGGTGATAAGGAGGAATAGATTAGCTAGACCAGGATTAAACTACTAATTTTATTGGAGTTTTGCTAATTTTAAACTTTAAGCTTTTGATATTTCTGCATCTCAAGGCTTACATAAATGTAGCATATATACTTCAGGAGTATATACCAGAGGAAGATAAATACAGAAGCCGTAATTCAAATATTTTAGGTGACAATTAAGAGAGTTTGGATCTCCGTCATATAATTTGTCTCAGTCCTCCTTCAGTTTTCTTACAAGAACTTTGAGCATTGGTCAAATCATCCTGTGTGATCTAGGGCACTTCTCCTGCAACCTGGGTAGGTCATTACAGCATGCTTGGATCCGTAACAAAAATCTCTTTTTCAGAATTCCCCTGAAAGTTACTGGTATTACTTTCTAAAATAACTGTAAGGTTAACTGTATGTATGAGGCTGAAGCCAATCTATTTTCCTCTACAATGTCCTTTTTTAGAAGAAAACCAATGCGAACTGCTCCAGAACAATGGTCTTCCACTTATGATTCAGGTTTTGACTGAGTCTCAGGATGAGGAACTAAACAAAGCTGCTACTTTTGTGCTGCAAAACTGCAAACAAATGAGTAAGCTTACTGTTATTGCTTTAAAAATTATGGAGATGATTTCCACCTCTAAGTTCTGTTGTCTTTCTAAATTATTAATTCTTAATTATTTTAACTCTGTCAGCTTTGTAATTCTGTGTACTTCAAGAGATGTTTGTTTTCTGCAGAAAAGTTGTGTATTTGCCACCATGGACTGATTATGGCATTTGGGCAGAAAAAAGAAAAGTAAAAATTCCAAAAATGTTGCAATAATGCATTTGTGAAACCGATATATGTAGGGCCAGTTCTTAAAAGCTTTCCCATCTATAAATTATGTGCAAAATATTAGCATTGGCATTTAACATGCAATTGGTACTCTATTCCTGGGTATGTGCCATCGAATACAGAGAACAAATGAGCAGATAATCAAGCCCAAAATCACCATGGCTGCAATTATTTTGCAATATTAAAAAATTGTGATATTTATTTTTAATGTAGGTTGTATTTTGAAGTATCCTGTTTACAGTTTTTTTTAATTAACTATATAATGCTACCAATGAAACAGAAAGACACCTCATCCTTTAATCTTTAAAGCATGGAAGATATTATGCAACTGATAATTAGTAGAAAGCATGTATCTACATTTTTGTACTGAAAACATAACTGAGAGTTTTGTTTAAGATTGAGGGGTGTGGTGATTTTCAGTGTCCATTAATATGGAGTTGTTTTTTAAAAAAATAAAAAAAAAAAAAAAGAGACCCAGACTGGTAAAGGACCTATAGAGTTAGGATTAAGTCCATGATAAAGTAATTTTTTAGAGGACAGCTTCATTATGTAAACAGCTTATACTAACTGTAATTGCAAGCTCACCTCTTGAAACTGCAGTTTATATTTGAAGCTTATTAACATCTACGTGTAAATTTAAGTTATATAAAAATTATTATTCAGAGGTTATATTTTGCAATAAATTATTGGGGCTGTCCCTCAACATACTTACTAAGATATAATAAATACTTTTAAAGGTGTTAATTAATAAAATTTTGAATATTAATATTGTTTTATATTTTATAAAGCTGAACAGTTGTCCCTGAAAATAAATGACAATTCATTAAACGTGAACAATGTAGAAGAGTTGGACGTGCAAGTCAGAAAAAGAAGTCTACAAGACTACTGGAAGAAAGCAAACGAAATTTTGCACAGAATAAAATTGATTGAAAATGAACGTGATGAGGTTGGCCTATTACCAAAGTAGAACAAACCTAAGCAAATCTTTCCAGAGTTTAGGGAGAAATAGAAAGAAAACCCTTAAGATAATTTCAGTGGGAGCTAGAAAAGTAGGGAAAACTTGGGATGTCTGTGAAACTACAACCTGCAGTTTTTACCATTACTGTATATCATACAGAGTTAGAAGCATGCAGGGCAATTGGAAAATGCAGGCATCTGTATTTTTACGGAGCATTTCAGTTTATTATAAAACCAGGTTTTCTACAAACTTGAAATAATTTAGGCTGGAGAAACAAGAGCTGGATTTATTCTTAATTGCCAATCATTTGAACCTATACTTTCAGTATCTGCATGCATGAAATGCCCATTATTGTACAGGTATGATGGGATAGATGATAATGGAAAATGTGAACATAAACTGAAATAAAGATGTTTCATATTTTCCTTGTGCTGTATAACTACTTCGTATCTCTGGGTGTGGAACAGCAAGTTATTGAGTTATTTAGCTGGACCTTAAGTTCATTAAATCTTTTCATTTCTGGAAGTGCCTTGTAAAGGGTTGTCAAGCATTGGAACAGGCTGCCCAGGGAAGTGGTTGAGTCACCATCCCTGGAGGTATTTAAAAGATGTGTAGATCTGGTGCTTAGGGACCTGGTTTAGTGGTGGACTTGGCAGTGCTAGGTTAACAGTTGGACTTAATGATCTTAAAGGTCTTCTCCAACCTAAACGATTCTATAATTCTTTGATTCTTTTAGTAGCAAATCCATTGCTTCAGCCTCAAACTATCATTTAATAACTACCCCTTCAACACCTTCAGTAGCACTGCTGTCTCATTGGCTCAACTCAGTCAGGGATTTTTGAAGCTTGTCTAGAATTTGCTTTACCTTCATATTTAGACTGGTCTATCCTAGTTAATCTTGTTACTAGATTTATTTAATATTTTTATAGAGTTTGTTTAGTTGCTAACTAGTATTTTTCAATACAGGAAAG